CTCAGAGTCTCAACAGCCCAGGCTTGGGTTCCCTCCACAGTATGACACTGACAGCACAGCCTGGGGGCTGGAAAGACAGGAGTTAAAATCCTGATCGTCGCCCTCCCTAGTCATGGGCACTTATAAAATGGGGAAGAAAATACCTCATGAATTTTGAGACTTTTTTTTTTTTTGCTGGGGCTGGGTTTGAACCCACCACCTCCAGCATATGGGGCTGACGCCCTACCCTTTTGAGCCACAGGCACCGCCCGAATTTTGAGACTCTTATGTAATATTTAGTGAAGCTCCAGACATACACATGCAGAAGATATCCCAGCAACACTTTGCATCTGACAGTTTAATTCCGTGTTCGCTAAGCCTACCACCTGCAGCCACACCACTGCTTAACATTATCCTAACGTCCCTGCACGCGCTAGCTTCAGTCGAGACACCTTTGTTCATGCCGTTTCCCCCACAGCCTACGTGCCCTTCCCACCATCTATGATCGCCCTGTCCCACATACATGTCACAATTATCACTGGTCTTAAAACTCTCGTATTGCTGCCAAGTTTAGCATCGTGCTGGGTATGGCTAAGATGCTTTGCAAATGTTTGTTAAATCAGAGGGAGGCTGAATTTAGCTGGAAAAGGCCCCTTACTGTGTCTGTTGCTGAAGCCCACACTTTCTGCAGCAAAGCTGTGGGGCCCACCGGTGGGCTCTGTGTCCTCGGGCCTTGGTTGGCACCTCCTTCTGGCTACCTGGGAGTTGGAAGGATGCCCACTGCTGTGTCAACAGCAGGCTGGAGGTTTAGTTCCCTCTTTATGCTCCTCTCTGCTCAACAGGAATATCCCCCAAGGTTGCTTTTGGCCTCCTTGTATACTGGCTAAAGCAGCATTTCCTCTCTGACCTCTTCTGGGTCATCTAGACCAGAAACCTCCTTTTCCCAACACGGCCCATTCCTACCTCCACTACTCTGGTTATCTGCTTCATTCACGTATGAAAGATATAACAGCTTCCACAGTTCTCCAGCTCAACTCCCCTCGAGGGCCCTGTACCTTAGAAGACTCTCCCGGAATTAAAATCCTGCCACTCCCATCAAGACCCACCTCCAGGCTCGGCGCCTATAGCTCAAC